AGAGCTTTTAGAAAAAGGAAGAAAAAACCTAGATTGTATGTTATTATTATATATATGCATGTGCGTTGTGTCTTGATGAAGTGTTGACAAAGTGTAAGTAGGAGTAGCAAGATATCCCTGTTATCTTAGCGTGTTTATGAGACAGAAAAAGAAACCAGCAATCCTACCATCATGCAAAACAGTTACAGGTTTTTGTTTCACTGTAATCTGGCAGGGACGGTAGTACTTCCCTGGGTGGTTGCTGTCTACCAACCTACTACCTACAGTAATTGTTACCATTAAATCTATTATAGCTTAGATAGTCTTAAGTTAATTTTAAGCCTGTAATGCTCTGCATACAAGGAACTTTCGACATGTACACCCAACTATAATACCTTGTACAACTATGAATCATGCCTTAATAAAATATTATTATTCTTATTATTATTATTATGGAGCCTTACCAGGCTATTTAAGGTTGAAGTAAAAAGTATACTTGAGGACTCTAATATTTTTGCACTGTTGTCTTGGCTTTAGATTACTGTTAACTAGAACTCCCAAATCTTTTTTTTTTTTCATTCAGAGTGGTTAAGATCTGCATTATTCAGTTTATAAAAGCCATAGTTATTCTCGTTTACCAGGTTTAGAACCTTACATTTTTCTACATCATTATTTTAATAAAAAAGAAGTGCTAAACCCAACATTTTTCTACATTAAACTGCACCAGCCACTTCCCTGACCACTGCATCAACCAGGTCTTCCTGTAGTGTTCTAACCTCCTCATCACAATGAACACTGAAACTGCCAGATCTTCCTGTAGTGTTCTAACCTCCTCATCACAATGAACACTGAAACTGGGAAAATGTGAAAAAAAACAACAAAAAAAAAATCCTGTCTCTGTGGGAAGATTTTGAGAAAATAAAAAATTATTTTTTCTTACAGTTTGAGTTCATTTTTGTGAACTGAATAAAACTAAATTGAGTCAAATCTGATAAAAATGTGATTTTTATGGTGTCTTGAAACTGGAGAAAAAATTATCACTTATCGGCAAAAGTGGCATAAAAGGGACAATGATGTTTTTTGTTTGTGTTTACAATTTTTTGATGCTAAGAATATGACTGTTTTTTTTTCTTTTTTTTGACTGTTTTTCTGTTTATGATATTAAATGTTTCAGTACTTCAAACATGGGAAAATACTGAACCTGACATTGCTCCACTTGGAATATAGAGAATAATTATTTTTTATTCTATTTCTTTATGGTTTTGTTTTTTAAAGCTATTTACAATGAATAATTATAATAATACAATTATTTCAGTGTGATACTCTTCAAAATATGGAAATTATTTACACTGTTTGTCTTTAGGTTAAGTCTGAAATGCCTCAGCATGACAGTGGCTTTCCTTGCAATTAACAAATCAATATTGTAATTACACATTGTAAGCTATGCAAAGAAATAAAAATTTTAATTTGAATTCTCTGTTAAAATATACAGTGGAACCTTAATATTCATACATCCCTATATTCATACAACTCAATATTCACCCAACTTTTTCAAGAAAAATTTGACTCGATATTCAGACGTTGCCCTGATATTAAACCTAAATGAAATGATCCATCTGGATGAAGTCCGATGAAAACAAAGCATCATGCGCTCAGTCTCTCATCAGCTTTCGTTCGTTAAGCATTGTTTGTACAAGCTCCGTGAAGCTTTTCTTTATTTCATTGTTATTTTGTGGTGTTTTTAAATATTTTCATTGAAAATAAGTAATCATGGACCCAAGAAAGAGTAGTGATTCAAACAAGCCTAAAAGGAAAGCAGTGAGAACAACAATTAAAATGAAAAATAAACTCAATGTGAAAAATTGGAAAGTGGAAACACATGTGATGGACCTAGCCATTCAATATGTTATAGGAAAATCCACCATATCATCCATATTGAAAAAGAAAGAGGCTAATGTGGTGAAAGGAGTGAAAATTCTTGCTGTGAAAAAGGTCACAGATAATCGAAGAAATGGAAAAACTTTTGTTAGTGTGGATTAACAAAACACAATTGGCAAGTGATACTGTATCTGAAAGAATAATTTGTGAAAATGCAGTTGTATAGTGATTGCTGGCAAGACACCCCAGGAAACAGTACTGAAATGATGAATTTAACCCTTTCAGGGTTTACAACGCACTAGTACGTCTTACGCGCCAGGGTTACTGACACACTAGTACGCATAAATTCTAGTGCCTTCAAATCAAGCGGGAAAAGGCTGGTAGGCCTAGATGTGAGAGAATGGGTGTGTGTGATCAGTGTGTGTAGTAGAAAAAAATCTGGAACCCAGTGGTGTATTGTGGGAATGCCATTTTAGTACACCTTGTTCACCATGCCTCGCGGTAGGAAACTCCTCACTCCTCGGTGAATTGGGACACTTTTGTTCTCCAGTGACAGTTCTAATACAGATGGAAGTGCCAGTGAAGATGAGTTTCAAGGTTTTGATGAGGCTGTGACCGAAACTAATGACCATAATACCGGTAACAGTGAGGAAAACCCAGACGACCCTCAGCCTTCCACCTCTGATGCTGGGCCGTCTTGTTCATGTTCAGTTGTACCAGAATCAAAGAGGAAACTCCTATTTTCCCATATCCTGGACTCAGATGTGAGCATTGGTAATGACAGTGATAGTGAATATGAACTACAAACTCTTGAAAACAGTTCCAGTAGTGATAGTGAAGTGGAATATTCTCCAGTGAAGCATCAGTATATAAGATGGTATATGCACTCTGATAGTGTGCCACTTGCTATTCCAAGGGAAAGGAGTACATCTTGGAGTACATCCAATGGCTATACAACAGGAACAGATAGCGAAAATGAACATAATAGTGTTGCAATTGGGATGGAAAATGTGCATGGTGGTGGTAGTGGTGGTGCCAGCCGTGAGGCACCAACAGTGGGCCATGCTGCCACTGACGCCAGTGCCTCAGCTGATTTACAACAAAGGCCACCATCCCCCACCCACCCACCACACCAGCCTCCACAACCACAAACTCCACAATCCTCATCACTTTGATTATTATTATTATTATTAAAGATTAGCCGGTATTCTCCCGGCCCGGGCCTTTTCCAAGTGGTGGCCCAGCCTTGGCTCCCTCTTTAGGGAGTGTCTGAGACCTAAGTCTCCCATGGGAGGAGGCACAAGTACCTCCTCATCTTTGGGACTAACTGTCCCCAGGCTAACCACAAGCTAGGCCTCTCTGGTCTGCCATCCCCGCCCTAAGGGGGCAAATGGGAATGACAGTCTTATGAGCTGAAGGCTCGGACTCAGGCACCTACCCTACCCTAGAAGGGTTAGGCATGGTATCGATGACCTCATCACTTTGATGAAACTCGAAGTGGAATATGGCCATCTTGTACACTTGGGAACAATGCCACTGAACTGGAATGTTTTGAGTTATTCTTTGACGAACCCCTGATGGAAATTATTGTCAGGGAAAACAACAGATACTTCGAGTACGCATGGCAAACACAATACTTTCACCAAAATCATGCCTACATCAGTGGAAAAAGACAACTGTGGCTGAGATGTATCTTTTCTTTGCCACAATAATGCTTATGCCACATGTGTATAAGCACAGTGTCAAATCATACTGGTCAACAGACTGCCTGATTGCAACCCCAGGTTTCAGTGATATAATGCGAGTGAATCGATTTGTGCTACTATTACGTATGCTTCACTTCTCAGACAAAACCAAGCCTGACAGAAACGACAGGTTATATAAGATTAGGAATGTGTTTGTGTATCTGAAAGAGAAATTCATTATGTATTTTTATCCCTTCAGGAAGCTTGTTATTGATGAGTCTTTGATACTGTTCACAGGAAGACTCTCATTCAAGCAGTATACACCAAGCAAGAGGAAACACTTTGGTATAAAGTTGTTTGTGCTTTGTGACTGCTACAGTGGTCTTGTATTGGATATTACTGTGTACACTGTAAGTTATACATTGCAAAATACCAGGAAATTATTGGGCATCTCTGGTGATGTGGGTAGAACAATGATGGAACCATGTCTTGGTAAGGGGTATATATTATATACTGATAACTGGTACACAAGCTCCTCACTCAGTGATTTTTTGCGAGTGAACATGACAGACGTGTGTGGCACAGTGCGTGCAAATCGTAAGCATATGCTCAGGTTTGACGCTGGCACTCGTAGAGGTGAGGTGCAGGTGTTTGCTGCCAATGACATCATGGCATTATGGTGGCATGTGACATGCAGATTGGGTTTGCTGATTGTGTTTGCAAGAGTTATAAGTGGTACATAAAACTCTTTTTCCATCTTCTGGACATTTCCATGCTCAATGCTTATAATATGTATACATTGAGGACCAGAAACAAACCACCATATGGCGAATTTTGTTTGTCTGTCATCAGACAAATAGTATTCAAGTACCAAGGAAGAACACCTGCAATAGAAAACCACCCACTAAATTATCAACAACTACCTTCTTGTCTGGAGGAGGAGAAAGGAGGAGGGAGGAGGAGAAAGGAAGGTGGAGAGAGGAGGGAGACAGGAGGGAGGGAGGAAGGGAAGAGAGGATGAGGAGGAGGGAGGGGAGGAGGGAGGGAGGAGAGGGAGGGAGGGAGGGGAGGGAGGGGAGGGGAGGGAGGAGGGAGGGAGGAGGGAGGGAGGGAGGGAGGGAGGGAGGGAGGGAGGGAGGGAGGGAGAGGGAGGGAGGGAGGGGGAGGGAGGGGAGAGGGAGGGAGGAGGGAGGGGAGGGAGGGAGGGAGGGAGGGGGAGGAGGGAGGGAGGAGGGAGGGGAGGGAGGGAGGAGAGGGAGGGAGGGGAGGGAGGGGGGGAGGAGAGGGAGGGAGGGGAGGGAGGGAGGGGAGGGAGGGAGGGAGGGGAGGGGGAGGGGGGAGGGAGGGGAGGAGGGAGGGGGAGGGAGGAGGGAGGGGAGGGAGGGGGGAGGGGAGAGGGAGGGAGGGGAGGGAGGGAGGAGGGAGGGGAGGGAGGGAGGGAGGGAGGGAGGGAGGAGGAGGAGGAGGAGGAGGAGGAGGAGGAGGAGGAGGAGGAGGAGAATAGGTAATAATAATAATAATAAGTAATAATAAATTGCCTTGAAGCATAAAAAACTAAGTCCACCCCTGACAGTGACATGATGAGATAACATCTGATAAGAGCAGATTTTTGATGAGCATACTCGAGGGTACAGTGATAAGACAAGATTAGAAGTGCCATTTGATGAGCATCACCCTCACTTTGTTTTTGCTGGTACACAAACATGCCTGTCTGTCTATTTGTCTGTCTGTCAAGCTCCCTGTCTATTTGTCTGTCTGTCAAGCTCCCTGTTTATCTATTTGTCTAACTCTCTGTCTCAGAGAGAGCCACAAGACTGCGTCATCACCTTTACTCACAACTTCAAGCAGAATATAGCACTTTGTCTGGATTTTTTGGGGGTTATCCTAGGTAATTTACACTATGTATACTTGTATTTATGTGTACCTGTGAGACAGAGATAGACAGACAGATAGAAAGAGAGAGACAAATTGAAACAGATACAGAGACAGATAGACAAAGACAAATAGAGACAGAGACAGATAAAGACAGACACAGATAGACAGAGGTAGACAGAGACAGAGATAGACAGAAAGAGATAGACAGATCCTAAACTTGGGGTTAACATCACTTTCCTCTTAAAAGAGGAGTGTTAATATGACATTACATCAGTGAATCCTTGGTGTTTGCCACACTGTTTGCTCTAGCTGGCGCTCAATTTAACTGGCGCTCCCACAAGGTACTAAGTGGTCCCACATTTTTTTAATACCGAGCACACCGAGTGTTAGGACCCATTCCATGCTGACAAGGTATCTCAGGCCAATCGTGCCAAATTTGAAGGCAGGAAAAATAAAACATATACGTTTGGGGCGCTACACGTAAGAACGTATATATACGTTTGGACCGTTTAAGGGTTATGGGCACTTGTCAATGGATAATGCTTCTGTTCACCCTCCAGGCTTGAAGGAAAATTTAGTGGATGAATACAGCTTCATTAAAGTGAAGTTCTTGCCCCCTAACACCACTCCTCTTATCCAACCAATGAACCAGCAGGTAATTTCAAGTTTTAAGAGATGCTAATACAAAAGCACTGTTTAAAAGGTGCTTTGAAGTGACCTATGAAACAGAGCTTACCTTAGGGAATTTTAGAAAAACAATTTTAATATCCTCGAGTGTTTAAGGATAATGGACAAAGCCTAGAGGAAATTTCTTTCAGGATAATGAACTCTGCCTGGAAGAAACTGTGGCCAGACTGTGTGTCAGTCAGAGATTTTGAAGGCTTTGAGGCAGAGCCTGTAGTGAAGGATATTGTTTCTCTGGGCCAGTCCATGGGTTTGGAAATGGACGATGAGGATGTATGTAGAGGAGCTGGTGGAGGATCACAAGACTGAGCTCATCACAGAAGAACTTCAAGGCCTGCACAAGAATAGGTGGTTGAAGAAATTATTTCTTCTTCAGAGGAGGGAAGCAGTAAGAGCAACATTTCCAATGCCAAAATTAAGGAACTGTGTTACCACTGGACTCGAACACAGAGCCTGGTGAAATAACGGCATCCTAACATTACTGTTGTGAAGAGGAACATCAACTTAAACCATACCCCCGGCCGGGATTGAACCCGCGGTCATAGAGTCTCAAAACTCCAGCCCGTCGCGTTAGCCACTTCTTCAATGACAATGTTGTTAACCGCTTCAGAAAAAATATTTCGTATGAAAAAATTAATATTCATACAACTATTCAAACAGCATCCTGGAATGGATTAAGTTTGAATATCGAGGTATCACAGAACCAAGTGTGTTTTCTGGCTGAATTCCACTGTTAATATCATGAAACTAATAAATTTGGAATGAATAAGTCATCTTTGTGCCATCTTCACACCCTGTTTGCTGGTAGGGAAGCTAGTGGTGGAACAACAGCCCCTAGTTTCCTGGTTTACTTTTGCAAGTTAGTGTATTAATTTGTTGGACGTACAGTCATCACCTGAGTAGTAAACCATGATACACTGTGTGGATCCTGCTGACCCTAATTTTTTTCAAATGTATGAATAGACAGGAGACCCAAAGAGTTGTGATGAAGTCAGAATTATTGGAAAGTGGCAGATTTATGGGTACAAAACAATGCACATACTAGTACATTGTACTCAAAAGCAGCATTTGCATACTAGTACACTGGACATGGTTTAAGGATTAATTTGAAGTCCTATTTTAATGTCTTCAATAAATTTGCTTATGTCGCTATTTATTTCCTCATGTATGTTGCTCATGTACATTGTCAATATCCCCACTCTGATTTCTCCCCATTTATGAACATCAGAACCACTATTCTGTTAATGCCAAATTGTGTTGATAATAAGTTGTAAATTATGGTGGGAGTGAGAGATTCACATATGAAAACCATGGTTTGCAAAGACTAAGATGTGAGATATTCCCCTTCATACTCTATGTGGGGCAAAACTTTTTTGTATACTGCACACACCAAGTGCACAAGCCTCTTTTCTAATGTTTAAGCCTAAATTTGCTACTCGTGGTAAATAAAAACACAATATGAATTATGAGTACCAGTATGTCACTGATTTTAACAGTTTGCATGTACCCTCATGTGGCAGACACCTTAATAGTTAATAAATCAAACTTACGAGAAAAGATTTTTGGACACTGAACACTGACACAGTTTCTCTCCAGTGCGAATTCTAATGTGTTTTATTAAATCTGATTTTCGTGAAAAGTCTTTCAAACACTCTGAACACTGAAATGGTTTCTTCCCAGTATGAATTTCTGTGTGTTTTATTAGACTAGCTTTTTGAGAAAAATCTTTCATGCACTCTGAACACCGATATCGTCTCTCTCCAGAGTGAATTTTCGTGTGTTGTACAAGATTAGATTTTAAGGAAAAGTCTTTTAAACATACTGAACACTGATATGGTTTCTCCCCAGTATGAATTCGCATGTGTTGTATTAAACCAGAATTTTGGTTAAACTCTTTTAGACATACTGAACATCGATATGGTTTCTCTCCAGTATGAATTCTCATGTGCTTTATTAAGTATGTTTTCTGGGAAAAGTCTTTTAGGCACACTGAACACTGATATGATTTCTCTCCAGTATGAATCTTCATGTGATTTAATAAGTCAAATTTGCGTGAAAATTTTTTGAGACACTCTGAGCACTGATGTGGTTTCTCCCCAGTATGAATTCTCATATGTTTGACTAAATCAGCTTTTCGGGAAAAGTCTCTAAGACACACTGAACACTGATATGGTTTCTCTCCAGTATGATTTTTCATGTGTTGTACAAAATTGGATTTTACAGAAAAGGTTTTTAGACACTCTGAACATTGATATGGTTTCTCTCCAGTATGAATTCTCATGTGTTGTACTAAATTAAATTTTTTTGAGAAGACTTTTAGACATTCTGAACACTCAAATGGTTTCTCTCCTGTATGAGTTTTCATGTGTGATTCCAAGTGAGATTTTTTAAAAAACTGTTTTAGACAAACTGTACACTGAAGTGTTTTCTTGCCTTTATGTATATTCATCACAGATACCTGCTGAGATTCTTGTGAAAGGTCTTTCAGACAGTGTGAATACTGACATAGTTGGTCTTCTGGGTGAAGTGTATGTTGTGTTGCTTCAACACATTCTTTTTCATTTTTTTCTGACATATTCATCACTGACTTAATAATCTTCTAGGTGAAAAATAATTTATTTGGCTTGAGCACGTTATTTTTAAAATAATATAGGCATAGCGAACACTGTCTTTGTAATCTTTCACGTGAATTATGGAATGTTTATTATTTGTGAACAGTAAATGACACAAAAACCAATATTTCTCTAATATTGCATTATTACTGTATTATAAACATGGGCAAGGGATAAATTCACATGGGTCATTCAGTGTGTTGGGAAGAAAAAGTGATGATTTGAGGAGAGTAAAGCTCTAATTCAATGGATCATGAGTGCTTCTCCAACAGCAAAGTACTTCCCATAAAAGGTTCTCTAATACTGCATATGAATTTAAATGTTTCTTTATAAAACTTTTCAGTTTTGAAATAGTTTATATTGATATAAGTTTTATTTTGTATTAATTCTTAATCATGCTGAAAAAGTGTTGATTTATAATAAATTTCAGAACACAGAACACTGAAGTATTTTCTCTCTACAGTGGTGCTGGTGCTTCTTATATTACCAAGCTATTGTTACAATGTTTTGTCTATCTCTGGTGCTGGTACTTCTTATAATACCAAGCTATTGTTACAATGTTTTCTCTCTACATTGGTGCTGGTACTTCTTATATTCTCAAGCTATTGTTACAATGTTTTCTCTCTACATTGGTGCTGGTACTTCTTATATTCTCAAGCTATTGTTACAATGTTTTCTCTCTACAGTGGTGCTGGTGCTTCTTATATTCTCAAGCTATTGTTACAATGTTTATTTTTTATTACAGGATGCTTGATGTATACATCATTTTTACTGCAGCTATTGTTTTCATGTTTCATCTACTGAAAGTAGTTTGGTCTTCTTACACTGAGGTTATGCATACCGGGTTTTTCTATGTACTTCAGACATGCTTACTGTCATACATTATGATTGTTACTGCACTTATGCCATGTAACAAAGTATATTGGTGTTCTTAATTGAGTACACAAAATCAATAACGTTTCAATTTTACATGACACAGTGAAATGTATAACTAATCATTTTCATCAACTGTTATATCATTAAAGTTCTTTATTATTTATTAATGTAAATGACAAGCAATACTAATCATAAAAATAACTATTGACTCAAAACTGCGATTTAACTAAGTGTTAATGCATTAAATATGAAGAAGACAACAATAATTAAAAAAATGAGATAATTAAAATAATTTAACATCTGGAGACAGTAATGATGTAGACAATAGATGACAAGAGAAGGATACAATTGGAAGAGAGTAGACAAGAGAAAGGTAAGTGAGGTGAGGAGAGTGAGACAAGAGGAAAGGGATAAAGTGAGGTGGAGTGAGACAAGGGAAGGGATAAGATGGAGGAGAGTGAGACAGAGGAAAGGGATAAGTGAGGTGGAGGAGAGTGAGACAAGAGGAAAGGGATAAGTGAGGTGGAGGAGAGTGAGACAAGAGGAAAGGGATAAGTGAGGTGGAGGAGAGTGAGACAAGAGGAAAGGGATAAGTGAGGTGGAGGAGAGTGAGACAAGAGAAGAGGGATAAGTAAGGTGGAGGATAAAACAGATGGGAAATTACTCAAATGATTTAGTGGTTACTTATACCAGTAGTGCACAAAAGTCATGTAAATGGTACCTTCCCTATAATACTTATTATACATTTATTACTACTGGATAACAGTCACACAAAATGGATAACGGTCACACAAAAACACCGTTTACACATTTATCATTATTAGTCAATGCTAAAAAATCTAAAAAGATGAGGCTGTAACATTACTGATGCCACATACATGTGCTCTTTGACACTGGTACTGACCCTAAGTGTAATATTTCTAACTCTGTGCTTACTAGTGCTGTCACTATATATAAGTTAGTACACAACTTACATGACCTTTATGACATTAAATATTGGCACTACAAGTGTAATTCCTCTGGTGCCAGGATGGCCTGCAGTACTGCCACTATAAGTGTAATTCCTCTGGTGCCAGGATGACCTGTAGTACTGCCACTATAAGTGTAATTCTTCTGGTGCCAGGATGACCTGTAGTACTGCCACTATAAGTGTAATTCCTCTGGTTCCAGGATGACCTGTAGTATTGGCACCAAAATATAGTAGTACCAGGATGATCTAAAAAAAAAGAGAAAGTTGACACAATATATATATATAAACTATATAATTTTTACCAACTACAATCCTATGTTAAATTTTAAAAATAAAATTTTCATGCACAAAGAAATTATCTTGTGTAACACTGGTATCATTATTATATTATTACTTTCACACTGTTAGGTACAGTATTTTGTGTAATATTTGTAAATTAGGTTAATCTCATATAATAACTGCATAAGAATCATTATGTATTTTAACACACTGGCCATCTCCCACCAAGGCAGAGTAATCAGAGAACAAGAAACACTGTCGCCACCACTCATTCTATCACTGTCTTGCCAGAGGCATGCCAGCATTACAGCTCAGATGCCCCTCCAAACTTTAATATCACCACCCCTCCTTCAGAGTGCAGGCACTGTACTTCCCATCTCCAGGACTCAAGTCTGGCTAACTGGTTCCCCAAAAAAAAAAAATTTTTTTAGGTTTTAACGAAAAAAAAATTTTTTTTTTTCAAAAAAGGATAAATTAATTTTCCCATTTGTTTTTTAAAATTGTTAATTCCAATTCCCTTTTTTTTAATTCTTCCCCCTTTTTAATCATTTTTTTTTAAAAACTTAAAAAAAAAATTTTTTTTTCCCCCCCCTTTTTTTTAATTTTTTTTTCCCAATGTTTTTCCCCCCTTGAACCCCTTTTTTGAACCACAAACTTCTTAAACATTTAAACCAAATTTTTAAATTTCCCCCCTACCTTTTCCCCCATTGCCTATTTATTAGCCCACCTAATGCTTTTATACTTAAAAAATGCCCCTCGGGGTTTAAAATTCCCTCTTTCCCGATTTTTTATTCCCCTTTTATATTCCTTTTTTAAGTTACTCCAACTAAAAGTGTTAAATTTTTCCCCCCCCAAAAAACTTGTACTTCCTAAGTTTAAACCCTTTTTTAAATACTAATCAAAAAAATTGTTTTGTACAAAAAGGATACTTATTTTTTTTTTTTTTAAAAATTTTATTCCTATTAAATTTTAAAATTTTCCCCCCAAAAATTTTTTTAACCCCTGGCCCCAATTTTTACAACCCCCTTAAAAGTTTTTTTATTTTAAATTAGTCCCCCCCCAAAATTTATTCTATTGGTTTCAAAGGTTTTTACTTTCATTTCATTCCCAAAACTTTCCCCCCATTCCCCCCCCCACTCCTTTTTTAGACCCATTCTGAAACCCCCTTTTTAATCCCTAACTTAATTTACCACTTCTTTCTCCTTTTCCCTTTGGTTTTTAATCTGAAAACCCTTTTTTCCTAAACCCTTCAGTACTGTTTTCCCCAAATTTTTCCCCCATAAACCTCTCCCCCTCACTTTTTCCCTTAGGGCCAGGCTCAAATTCTTTTATTTTTAACACAGAAATCATTTTTTTCCGAACTACCACATTTACAACCCAGTTTTAAAAAGTTTTTTTTTTCCTTTTTTAAATGAACAAAATTTAGATTCCCCGGCATTTTATCCCTTAGACAGCTGGTTCAAAAATTTCTTTTCCCTTCCCCATAAAAAAGAAAAAATAAAAAAAAAAAACTATTTTAAAAAAAGAAAAACCAATTTGAAAATTATAGCTTGGCTGCGGAAATTTTTCCCAAAGTTAAGTAAGTGGCCCTTTATTTGGGGTTTTTTGGGGGCGAAAAAGCCCGCCCCCTACCTCACAAAACTTTAATTTTTTTTCACTAGGGCCTATTTCCCCTGGGGGCTTTAAACCCAACCCTTCCCCTCTTAAAAAAACCTCCCCTTTAAACCCCCTCCCCCACCTTTCCCCCCCACCCCCTTTAAACACCCCACCAAAAAACGTTGGTTTCCTCTCAAAATTCCAAAACATCTCCCCCCCCATTTCCAAAAATTCCTTCGAAGATCTCCAAAGCTTCACCCTTTTGGCTTTAAAAAACCTCAAACCCCTTTTGTAAACAATTCTCGTCCCCCCCTTTCCAAGGACCACCCCCTCTTTTTCCCAAAATTCTAGTTCCCTCATCTTTCTCCCATTGACACTCACTCCCAAAATCTGAACGCCCCTCCTCATACTCCTCCCCCCAATCTTTTCAATCTTTTCATTTAACCCCTTTTTGTTATCCTCAAAACCCTTACTTTTCCTGTATTCCCCTTTTAAATTTCTTTTTTCCCAAACCCTACCAAATCATCCCCATCTCTGCAATTTTTTCAGAATCTCCAAGACACGTTCATCAGCAAAGAGAGCTGTGAAAACTCCCACTTTGGTGTGTTCTTAATTTTTAACTCCACCCCCTTTTCCCAAGACCCTCGTTATTTTTTTCAACCCCTTAAATTATTAAACCCCGGTGACATCCCCAATCCTTGTCTAAGGCCTACTTTTAGGGGGAAAAAATTTCCCTCTTTCCTACTATCTAACTTTCCTCACTATCCTTAAAAACTCTTCACTGCTTTCAGTAACCTACCTCTACACCCCCACCTTCAACATCTCCCATTTCCCCCCTTCCCCTTTTTTAAACCTTTTCCAAAACCTAAAACCAACAAAACCTCTTTAGTTATTAAAACGGGAAATTTTTTTTCCCTTCACTGGGTTCCCCAAACCCCCTCTTTCTAAACCTTTTTTTCTCACTTTTCCTCTTATCTTTAATTTTTCCTTTTTTCCTTTCCTTTTCAAAACAGCTTCCCCTTTTTTGGATCCTTTTTTTCCCCCTTCCTTTTTCAAAGAAAATTTCCCCCCAAAAATATACCCACCCTCTTAACATTTTTTAAAAAATTTTCCCCAACCCCTCCCTTAAACCCCCCTCTTTTCCCCCACTTTTCCCATCAATGGCCTTCCCCTTTCATTTTCCTCTGCCTCACGAAAAATTTTCCCCCCCCAAATTTTTTTCCCCCCCAAAAATTTTTCCCCTTCCCATACCCAAATCCCTTTTACTTCTCAAATTTAACAAATTTTAAATTTTCCTTTACTTTTAAACTTAATCTCCCAAAAATTTTTCCTATTTTTCAAAAAATTTTGTTCTCTACTTTCTTTTTTTTATTCACCCCCAAAATTTTTTTTTTTTCCCAAAATTTTTTTAAAAAAAACCCCCTCCTTCATTTGTTTTTTTAATTTTCCCCCCAAAATTCTCTCTTTTTTCCCCTATCCTTCCCCTTTTCTCCTTCCTTTTTAAAATTTTTAACCCCAATTTTTTCCCTTACACTTTTTACCCATTCCCCCGCCCTTTCCCCCGCCCCTTTCCCCCTTTCCCAAAATTCTGTAACACCTAAAACCCCCTTTTTTTTAAAAAACCCCCACCTCTTCCCCTTTTCCTATCTCCTTACCCTCTTTTCCTATTTAAAACTTTTAAATGCCCCCTTTTTTAGTTTTAAACCTTACCTTTTTCCCAGCTTTATCTCCTTTATTCACCACTCTTAAATCAACTAAAATATCTGTATTCTGTCCCCCCTTCTTAATTGATTTATAACATCCCTTTTATACAAAATCCAAACCCAAAATTTCTTCCCTTTCCCCCAAATTTTCTTTCAAAATTTCCCCTTTTTCTTAAATTTTATTACCTTAAATAAACCCTTTTTTAAATTAAAAAAAACTCCCCAAAATTCCCTCCCCCAAAATTCCCCCCCCCCCCTTAAAATTTTTTCCCCTTTTTGATTCAACCCCTACCAAATTTCCCTTAAAATTTTAAACCCCATCATTCCTTCTCTCCAAAATCTTTTCCCCCTCCCTCT